CTGCTGCCTTTGCCTTCGTGAATATGCTTTGCGTACGTAGCAGCAGCAGCAGCAGCAGCAGCAAAAGCAGCAGCGAGCGAGATTTACATTGATATTCCGAATATTAACTCTCTAAATCGACTGTAACATACACATAGCCTTAATTTCCGGCCGCGCTGTGTGCTCACTCTCCTTTGGTTTTTTGCGACGACTCTCTGCATACACTGCGTGTATGAGAGAGAGAGAGAAGGTTCTCGCACAACGTAGTTATATATACTGTGTGCCGTGCACAGCACGTCTCGAGGCACACAAGGGCAGCAGCAACAGCAGCAGCAGCAGCGACGACGTGTTTTTGCGTTTATGAAATTCATGCCTCCCCGCAGCCGCGCGCACTATACGGATTCTCGCAGCGACTCGCTAATATAACGTAGTAGCGGTATAATTGCTATGCTCGTCCGAGCTTTGACTTTGCAGGCTCGCTCTCTCCTCTATGTGTTTATCCTGCTGCTGCTGTTGCATTGTATACGCACTCTTGATGGGGAGAGGATGAAAAGACGAAGCTTTGCTCTAGCCTCGTCGTCGGCGGCGTTATAAACTCTCGATGCGCCGCTGCGAGGAGAATGTGCGGCCGGCCTCGCGCTTCCGCCGACTCGCTCTTCTTCCTCTCTCTCTCTGATCTCTCTCTCTATCGGTTTTGCAAAATACATAGCGTCGCGGTAGTACCGATGTACGACGAAGACGCTGAAAAAAATTCGTACATTGCGAAATACATTCGTCGCGAGATTATAAATAATGTGTAGCCGAGCGCAGTTTTGGAGCCTAATATGGAGCTCTTTCTCTATACACATGCACATGGCATTGTACATAGGCTAAGCCATAGTTAGCGTGATGGTCAAAAAATCTTTTTTTCTTAAATTATGTACTTTTGAAGAGTACATAGAAAATTGAAAATCCTGAAAGTTTCAGCCCTCTAGGTCCAACCCTATTGAATTATCAGGGCTTCGAAGTTGAATTTTATTTTTCTGCTGATATTCTGCTGGAAATTCTGATTTTCTGGGGTTAATAAAAATTGATGAAAAAATTGTTGAATCATGGTTTTTAATGTAAAATTTGATGCAAAATTCAAATTTGTACTTCAAAATCATATTAACAAGTTGAACTCCCATAAATATTGTAATATGTTCATCGATACATCAAATTACAACTTCTGATAAATTTTGGTTATCGGCAGACAAACAGACTTCATTATTGAGCTTAATATGTGTCAAGAATCAAAGAAAATTGGAGAAAAATCATGTATCTATAATATATATATTAGCCCATATGTATATAAGCTCTCTTTGCAGCTCACTTTCTGGGCGCTTCCTTCCCCTCTCGCTTGCCACAGCCGACGCACGGAGAGTTCTTCCTCTCTCTTTCCGGTCTGTCTTGCCTCTGCTGCTGCTGCTGCTGCTATACGCATCTCTACATACACCTATATATACGCACAAACTATATAGACAGCAGCAGCAGCAGCAGAGGCATTGCGACTTCGTAACGCGTTCCACGCGTGTGCAATATGTACATCGTCATCGTCTCTTTTCTTTCTCTCTCTCTCTTATTCTGCGCTTACATAGTGGTAGCGCGCGAATGCAGACCTGCTGCTGTTGATGCCTGTGTGTAGTGTGTGTGTGTATTATGATGGCCTGTTTTCTTGGGAGCCTGGGTTATGTGTTACTACCACGACCACTGCGCGCGACCACCATCGCTGTTACTACGACTGCTTATGTAGTACTACTATATACTACAACTAATGCTACAACTTCCACTTCCACTTCATATACGGCGTAGCTCTAAATATCCGGTCACCGAGTTGAGGATCTCTCTTTCTCTTTCTTGCTGTACTGCGAATTACGAATTTTAATGATTTATTTCATCCTGCTGATACAAGACGACGACGCTTCTTTTTGCAATTCTGCGAAAATACTCGGTGTCTTTTTTTTCTGAACTTCGGGTGTGCTGCTGCTGGTGTATGTATAGGAGTAATATACAACTCGCTTATCATTAGCCTGGCGTACGTGTAATAATGTAATGCTGCTGCTAGCAGCAGCCACCTCGTTCAGCTTATCAAACTATTACGAGCTCGTACGAGCGCTCAGCTATTTCGTTCGTATTATTTGTTTAGAAATTTCGCAACAATGAAAAAATATGGTTTCGTGCGTGTGTATCGCGCGCCGCTGCTGCTACTGGCGCTCCGCATTATTATACGACGCTCAAACAAGAGCGAGAAGATTTAGTCCAAGGTGGCGCCAATTTCTATCTGGTTGAACTCATTATATAGCTCGTAATTGTATTATTCTTTTTTTTTTATAATACAATAATATGACGCCTCGATTGGGTACACGTACATTGTTCCCACGGGCGACGCAATCAATATTTACACTGTCTAATCGACTACGAGCTCATTAGCATTTGGCGCGCTGGAAATTCCTCGTGGTTAGACGTAGAATCTAATTCGGTACGAAAAAGACATGGGTGAGACGACAAATTTCTCGACAAAAATCATGGAAATGTCACTGATTCATTTGCGGTGCCTCTGCAAAAGTGTTTAGTGAGCTTTAGCCACCCGAGCCTAGACTTATTAATGTACTTGCGAAAGCTCTGCCCTGCATATGCACTATTGGTATATCGTATTTACCTGTGTGGCAACGAATTAAATATTAGCAGCAGCTCGCTCGGCTCGGCTCGGCTCGGATCGGGAGCAGAATCGATGGTGGCGATCGATTATCGCATCGGTTGACGGGGCGCGCACGCGCGCAATCACTAATGCAAATCAGAGGAATATCGACTCCTCCTTCTCCTCGGTCTGCATTGCGTAAATAATATATATTATTGTGCATACAGAACGGGGGGGAAGGGGATATAGGGAGTCTGGACGTAATAGAAATAGCAACGATCGCCTATACATTATCGTGGCGCAGACTCGCGCGTGGTAGTATTTTCTACGTCTGTCTGCCGATTTGTGTGCCAGTGTCGCGCGTCTAGCGTGCTCCATAGTCTGGAGAGCATCGAAGTCGAGAATTATGTATACAAACGCAAAATTTGCCGCCGCTGCAACAGTACGCCTAACGTATCCCTCGATCGTTTAAACGTGTAATAATGATAATATATATAAACGCATGCAGCAGCGTACGATATATACCGGCTGAGCGAGCACGCGTCGTCGTCGTTGTCGTCGTCGCGCGCACGAACGGCTGTCGCGTCTCGGCATGTACTATACTACCACCTCTCGTTCACTCACTCTCGCACAGACACAGACACAGACACGCATGTATACACCGCCAATGGTATGCATGTAGGTATGCACATTTGTATATACACATGCCGATATCTGTGTGTGTGTCTGTGTATGTACGATATACTACTACTGCACCGTACGCGAGATATACGTTTGGATTATTGAACCAGAAGTCAATGAACTTCCGTTGGTCGAGAGACTCTGTTGCGACTCGCGCGCGTTACAATACGTATAGACACGTATGTTGTAATACATTGTTTTTTTTTGCGGTTAGCAAACGCGTACGTATACGCGTACAGCGCAGTCGTTATAATCGCCGCGTCTCTTTGCGCGCTTTGCTCGATTCAAAGAGCGCATACACACACGCATACACACATGCGTGCGAGAGAGCTCAAAAAAGTGTATACCAATAGAGAGCTTTGATCCTTGACAGCCACCAGTGAATCATCGATTTTCACCCACGTACAAAAGCCGAAGAAAAGGCGCTCTCTCGTCGCAAGCTCGCAAGCGCAAGCCACGCACGAGGTGAACACGCGGCGGCTACAAAGTCGCGCGCCGGCTGCGCGCGTAACATCATCGTGTGCCGCTCCAAGCGTCATCGTCGTCGTCGCTCGTCGTGTGATCAAGTGTGCATCTTTCCCTCTCTCTCTCTCTTTCTTTCCTAAACCTATCAAGTGTTTATCTATTGTAAGCTTTTATTCGTGCTATTGTTAAAAATCTAAGAAATTTTGTAACCTCTAATTGTACAACGAAATTGAGCCTTACGGCGTAATACACCTAGGCGTAATAAATTCTATTTCAATCAATCTCTCTCTTTCTTGTCACAATCGTCGCTCGTACATTGCAAGCACACACGATGTGCGGCTTACGCGAGTTACATCTAGAAGCTCTCTCTCCTCTTCTCCTATATGATATATCCGCCGAATTATACACAGATATATAACGCGTCGCGTTCCTCGCATAGCTCTGTTATATAGTAGTATACAGCGCTGTGCTGCTACGCTTGTTTTTCTGCGCAGATGCACGTCGCGCAGGTGCCGCCACCGCCGCCGCTTATGTGTATGTGTGTATGTACGCATGTACACTCGGCGCGTCTCTCCTTCTTTTTCGTCGTCTCTCTCTCTCTCTCTGCCTCTGCCTGTATATATTTGCGAGAACTGCCATTTCGCTACATATACGTATACTACTCTGTGATACACACATACATGCGTGCGTGTGCACGGTACGTCTGCTTTTCTGCGCGACGCGCCGCAGTGCCGAGCAGCGGCGGCGGCGGCGGCGGCGGCGGCGGCGGTGGTGGTGGTGGTGGTGACTGGTGACTGGTGTGCGCTCGTAGTAGCAGTGGTGGGGACAGGGGGGTGAGAGAGAGTCGGAGTAGTGTACGTGCATGTGTACACACACGTATATTACGTGCTCTCTCTCTCTCTCTCTTGCCTGCGAAATAGAGTTTATAGCGCCTATATAGCGAAACGCGCCGATTCGCGAAGAGAGTTTCGGTGTGTGTATTCAGGCAGTAGCGGCCTCTCTCGCCGCCGCCGCCGCTGCTGCTACTCCGCGCTACGGCCGCTCAGTGCGCCTCGGGCCGCCGGCAATAGTGGTGCTGTGCTACGTGTGCTGTATATAGCAATAATACGTCATTATTATTATATCTGTATAGTAGTACAGTGCGCGAAAACAGCTATATATATATATATATATATATATATATATGATACATACACAAACTCGAGACTGCGCGTATACATAGATATACGCGTGTGTGTGCGCGTGTGTGTGCGTCGTAATTGCTCCACATTATAATCGTATAAATACTAAATACGTGTGTGTGTGCAGTGCACAAATTGCTCCTGCGCTACTGCTGCTGCATACTCACTTCTGTGCGTTATAATAATAAATACATTGCACCATCGAATCGTCGTACATGTTATTGTATTTTTTTTTTTTCTGTTTGGTTAAATAAGATATATGATGAGGTGTGCGCGTGTGTGCAGTGTGTAAAACAACAGTGTGAGAGCCGATGAATATATTGCATCGGCCGCGGGACAGCGAAGTGATACTACTGGCCGCGTAATTTTACCCACGTGTCTTCGACGGCTTGCCGCAATTGTGCTACGAGAGAAAGAAAATCTACCGATAATCCTGCTGCGAACTTACCACCCGACTAAACGACGACGTGCTTTGCTACATGCGTGTGTTGTCTCGTGCATCGTCGTCGTAAAGTGTGCCTTCGAATCGGCGAATAATCGATAATAATGTGCTCGAAACAATCGCCCATCGTCCGCGTTTCGCGGCGATGCGAGGAGACACGCTCGCGAAAAGTGGCGACCACCGCCACCGGTAGAGCCGAAATCATAACGACGACGACGTGCCTCGGTCGTCCTCGGCGCTATAACATAAGCAGCAGCCACCGCCGCTGCAGTATTAGCAGTAGTAGTAGTGGAACGAGAAAGAGAGAGGAAGGAAAAAAAGAAAAAGTAATAGTATCAGTGGTGCCGCGTTCAAGAGGAAGCAACAGCAGCAGCAGCAGCAGCCACGAAGCGGAAGCGACGCTCGGCTCGATTGACGTCACGCTTCCTTTGCTGCGCTACGTACTACTACGCCGTCGTCGTTCAATGCCTCCTAGAAAAGAGAGAACTGCGCGAAACACACTTTTAGGATGCTGCTGAATTTTTATATGCTGGTACGTCGACGAGAGTGAGTTTTGAGAAATCATGCATGTGTGTGTGCTGCGCTGCGCTCTGTGTCGTGGTTTCGTCGCGCCCCCCCTGCTTCTTTTTTTTTTTTTATTGCGCGCGAAAGGCGCGAACGAAAAAACGCAGCGAACGTAGGATTAAGTATAGCATAAGAGTAAGCGACAAAATAGATGAAAAACGCGATTCGTTGTTTGTGTGCATCTACTACGTCGTTCGAGGAACAAACAAGTGACTGTGCTAAGTGAGTTCTCGCATATGCACGTACATGCATACACAGATGCATCGAGAAATAATGACAATTGCGCGCGCTCTCGTACACACGTCTATATATAATATATATCGAAAATATCATCGCGTGCAGTTTCTGTGTGCCTCGGCAGCGGCGGCGGTGCTCTTTCTCGCTCTCTCTTTTCTCTGTCTGCGACACACAAATGCCGCTATTGTGTATGCGACGGTGCGACGACGAGAGAATCTCTCTTCTCCACTGCTGCGTCGCGCTGCTCATCGTCGTCGTTCGCATTCTTACCCGCGCCACTCTATGTGCGTTATACAGCTGCTTATTTTTCTTTTTTTTTTTTGTTTTGCGTTTTTGCGATTTTTCCGAGAAATCTCGAAGTCTCGAGTCGTCGTCGATATTTACCGCTAAACACACACGGATATACGCGCTATTTCAGACTGGCGCCTGTGTGTGTGTGTTTGTGTGACGTAAGAGAAAATTTTCGCGCATGTTTTCTTGACACTTGTTGCACATCTTGCGTATTAGTGCGCGCGTTACATTATGCACCTACGCGTTATGCGTCTGTGTAGGCAGTAAGCAGGCATATACATTGCATCGACGTTTTTCTAGTCGCGCCAGCAGTCGCGTACATAACATCAAATAGGCCGCGCCGATGCGCAGTACTTTTACGCGGATTTTTGCGCCGCTCGTTAGCTCGTATCGGCTCAGCGGTGTTTGTGTTTCTCTTTTTCTCTTTTTCATTTCTGTACTCGTGTCGCGCTGATACGGGTCCGAGAGTGTGCCATCGGATTTTCCGCGAATTTCTCGCGCGCTAAAATAACAATGAGTCGAGTGAGATTCGTCGATATTTCAGATAAACGACAGTTAATAGTTCTACGATAACGTAGATTTTTTACAGTTCTTCGATCGAATTAAAATTTCGATTTAAGGAATCAGACTCGTTTATTATAAATTTCTCGGATTCTTTTTTTTTTCTCTTTTTCTCTCTTCGCGCGATAAAATAATACGGCAAGTTTATAATCGCTCGATATCAAACGCGGCTCTCTTCTTCCGATGATGGGTCTCTCACTCCGCTGCGCTGCGGAGTTGGCTGGCTGCGCTCTGTGTTCTCTTCACATCGTGTGTGTTGTACACACTACATATATATTATATATATATATATCTGTATATAAAATACTTTGCACAGACACACATACTCGCACGCAGCGGGGCGGAGCTTTGGCTCGCAGAATTTCGAAAGATTCGAGAACGCGCGCGGCTTGGCGAGGCGAGCGAGACGAGCGCGGGCTCTCCGAGGAGAGAGAAAGAGAGCTCACAGGCAAGCAAGAGCGCGTCATCGCCCGTGTGCTGCCTCGCGAACGATGTCTTTTCCTTTCCCACGCCGCGTTGTGTGCTGCCGTTGCTTGCCTGTCTGCAGCGCGCGTGCTGTGTTTTCTGTGTGTATATATGTGTGTGTGTATGCGCTCTGTATATATACTGTGTTGCTTGCTCTCTCTCTCTCTCCGTACTCACTCTTTGCGCGCGTAATACTCTACACCACACACTCACACACACGCATCGGAATTTGTGGTTGTATGTCCGCGTGTGTGTGTGTGCGAGTTGTTGTCGGTAGTGTGCGTCTGCCGATGCAGACCGAAGCCACCGTACACTCGCAGCAGCAGAGAGCCTCGCAAATTCAACTCGCGCGCAGCACTCTTATTATGTACGAATGAAATTTCGGTCCCTCGCTTCGAGTCGCTATTAAGATGATAGGCAGTGGTTCTCAGCAGCAGCGCAGCTCTCGACTCCGCGATCGTTTGCTGTGTGGTGTGCTCGAAAAAGGAGAGAAAAGAAAAAAAAATAGTAGCGATACATTTGATACACGCGCAAAGGTCAAACACGCGGAGAGTTCGTTCTCTCGCTCGCTCGCTTGCGCGCCGCACCGCTCTTTGAAGTTCGCGAATAGAACATTTTCTTTCTTCTCTCTCTCTCTCTCTCTTGCTGGCTCTTTCTCTCTTTCGTTCGCTCACAGGCAGCACACACACAAATGTACCTACACACACGACCGAAGCTGCTGCTGATCGTAAAAAATTGCCCGTGTACATATATACGCGTTAAAAAAGAGGGGAAACCGGATGCGATATCGCGATTATCCCGTAAGCCGATGATGACGACGACGACGACGATCATGATGATGATTATGGTGATGATAATGATGATGATGCATCCTGCTGCCACCCTGCTTTTTCGACTCCGCTGTCCGCTCTTGCTTTCGTGTACAACGCGTAACGCGTATTAATGCACACGCACACATATGGTATTAATGAGTGGCGAGCCTTTTTAGCCTGCGTGTGTATACAGTACGATCACCTTGAATAATGCCAACAGCTTTATTTCTCGAGCTTTTTTATATATCGTTTGACAAAAAGTGAGATGCTGCTGCCATGGAGCCCCCCTACATACTACTCTTTATATACATAAGAAACGCGCGCGAAAAACGAGCTTTATATTATCCATTCACGTGTGGTATCCTCGTGTGTTTATATCTTTATCGTTGAGAACGGCTTCGCGTCATCGTTCCTTCGGGAGACTTTACGACTTTCGTGTCTCTGCTCCGATGTGTGTATCAACGCGTGTGCCGCGCGGCTGGCTGGCTGGGTTTTTTGTTTTTGTCGCCAAAAAATCTCTTTCGTCCTCAGGGCCACACACGAGCGCAAAATATCACACGCACCGAACAACGCGCGGCGTGCTTATCGATTAATGGCGTCCTGTTTTGAATGGATGCGAAGCAAAAAAAAAAGCCCAACATAACACACACACACACACAAACATACAAACAGGTCAATCACGCTCGGGTGTTCGCGCGCGAGAATGGCGCGCGTAATTTTTCTCGTGTTATTGGCGTCGTGTTATGTGTGAGTGTGTTTTTCGGACTCGTGCACTACTTCGACGTAGTAGCAGCCGCGACCACCTATATGTGTATTGCGCGCGCGCGTGTGACCCGAAACTTTGTTTACGATCGACTTTTAATGTGCTACGCAGTTGGACACGTGCACCGATGTGCGTATTTACACGTACGCACGTAGGAACGGAGTTTTCGCGTGCACACGTATACTTGTATATTAAGCCAGGCGGAGCGGTTTCACCCATAGTAGTCTGTCTGCGTCACGATGTGTAATCAGTTTTTCGATATTCGATACGTGGAGTAGAGTCTCGCCCCAAGTTTTGCACACACAACTCATTGTTTGTCTAAATAAATAGGGAAATTTTATAGACTGGTTGCATCATTTTAGTGTTTTATAAGAACATTTTTTGTATACGCTAAAAAGCTCGTTGATTGCTCGATCGATTCGGCACGGTATAACATTTAGAAAGTCCGCTAACAACGTTTTGCCATTACGTTGAAAATTTTATCGTATACAATAGCCACAAAATTGTGTAAACATCTCGCGGGACCGTAAAAATGATTTCGCGGGCTTCATTAAAAAAAAAAAAAAAATTGTCGAATGTCGAAAATCTGACGCGTGGCAAAAAATTCCTGCATTCGTTCGTACTCGATAACAAACGATATCACCATGTAAATGTAAAACATTCAAGAATGAGCAAAGATGCAGCAGCAGTAACAACAACAACAACAACGACAACAAAAAATGACCGTCTGCATCGGTAGCGAACGACCTTGACTCTCGCGATCGTTTTATATACGCAGCTCGTGCTGCAGCAACAGCAACAAGCATGTGCACAGTGGAAAAGCGCGTGGAATTTTCGCGCCTTGAGAACTTCGCGTCAGCAGCAAGAGCGGTGGTAGGCAGGCATAGCAGCGGTGCATCGGGTCGTCGCTCGCTCCGAGTATAATACTCATGTATGTGCACACAACCACGAGGGGACTCGCAAAGACAGAGAGAGAGGGAGGAGAAGCGATGCAAGGGAGGGGTATACCATCTCTCTCGAACTCCTCACTTGCTCCGAGACTACGTGTGCGATCTTGCATACCTTGCCTTTTCTCTTTAATATAATGCGCTATACGTGTATATATGTGTGTGTATATTGCCTCTAGCTAAGTGATCTTGAAATTTTCGCATCGACGATCTTCGTTGACACAGGCCAGACGTTTCTCTTCTCCCGACGTGTATCTAAATGAAGTTCTTTCTCTTTTTTTTCTCTCTTTTTTTTTATTCCCTGCACCAACCTTGAAATATATTTTTGAATTATGTTCACGCCGTGAAATATTTTTCACCGCCTGTATGTATATCTCGAGCATGCGGCAGCTCGAGAAAAGAAAGAAAGAGTTGTTTTTGCAGCACTCGAGCAAGCCCAGAGAGAGAGCGGCAGCGCGACACACGCAGACACTCAACGTGATATTTATCCCTTTTGCCCCCACGTGTCAATTGGCGTTTCGCGCGCTCTGCGCGGCGCATGCGAAAAAGAATTCGCCGTGCACAGCCCGCGCTTAGCGTGGCGTATAGTACACACGTATAACGTGTGCGATGCACTCTATATATATGTACCTATGCAGATTTTCGCATGCCTCGTTCTGCCGCGTGAGTGTGTACGTGTTTGTGCGTATGCGTGCGCTGTGCAGCACCACGAGGGCTGGTGGGGGTAATAGTAGAGTTACATACGGGGATTTTTTTTACAAACGCAGGCAAACTTGCTGCGTAGTGTGTGTGTGCGCGCGCATTCGCATTCGTAAACCTTCAAAAGTTCATCGCTCCCGTGCAATATGCAAACACACACACACACGCTCACACACAAGCTCGTCTGTGTTCT